TGTGTAAACACAAATGCCCAAGTTGCCCGGTTTGGCTGGTGATTTTGATACAGGAATGAGAACATTTTAGATCACATTGCAAATATCAATTAACATTTGACTTCATAGCAATTGTTGTGACTTCCCCTGTGATTGTCTTGCAGAGAAACATTAGAAGTCTTAAAAAGTTTATGTGCCATCCCCTCATCTTAGGTCAATTCTTTTGTTTGTTTTCTTTGGTATTGTTTGTTTTTGTGTTTGTGTAACACCGCACTTTATTAAACCAGCTATTGGGCGTAAATAATCGACTCTGGACAAGACAATCCAGTGATTCACATCATAAGTATGGATCTAAGCAATCATGATACGATGACATGCAATTCAGCAAGCCTGACCACCCGATCCCGTTAAAAGCTGATAGTGGGTTGCTAAAAACCAGATCAAACCCAGATCTTCACGGGATCATATCTCTCTGGTGTTAAGCATGATACGCCGAGATTCCATGAGATGATGATATATTGCTAGTTTAGTAAGCATTTTCCAGGAGAGAGTACATTTATTTTCATTATCACAGAAACTTTGTTCCTAAGTTCGTTGTCCAAACACCAATGGCAGGATTTGACACCACCACAAGTAAAAGAAGGCAGAGACTGTCTAATAACGTTGAAAAGTTAGGACATCTTTGTTCTGGGACGTCGCGGGTGTCATCATTGTGGACGATCAATAAACGGAGCTGTTGTGTTGCACTTTTGAAGCGGTTACGGGATGAAATTAAAGATCAGGACAACCGCCAGTGAACAAATCAGTCATTGCCATGGATACAATGCACGAGTGTGGCTTTGAACTCCATAAGCATTCCCCTTCTAGCTCCGTAAAACTTCTGTTCCTATACACAAAGAGAGCTCTTGCCGGAATCCATTATGACTTGAACGTTGACGTCATAGCAGCTGTGGAGAACATATTTGACAGCCAAAACAAAAACATTATTTCTACAACAAAAGCGACGAAACCCTTTCCATATCTACACGAAATCTCAATTGTTTGATTCTGATTATATTTATGAAGCGCCAGGTCAACCAACGGATCGAAGTAAATAATTGCCCTCTTTGACCAAAAGCCAGGTCTACCAACGGATTGAAGTAAACAATTGCCCTCTTTGACCAAAAGCCAGGTCTACCAGCGGATCGAAGTAAATAATTGCCCTCTTTGACCAAAATCCAGGTCTACCAACGGATTGAACCAAATAATTGCCCTCTTTGACCAAAAGCCAGGTCTACCAACGGATCGAAGTAAATAATTGCCCTATTTGACCAAAAGCCAGGTCAACCAACGGATCGAAGTAAATAATTGCCCTATTTGACCAAAAGCCAGGTCTACCAACGGATTGAAGTAAATAATTGCCCCCTTTGACCAAAAGCCAGGTCTACCAACGGATCGAAGTAAATAATCGCCCTATTTGACCAAAAGCCAGGTCAACCAACGGATTGAAGTAAATAATTGCCCTCTTTGACCAAAATCCAGGTCTACCAACGGATTGAACCAAATAATTGCCCTCTTTGACCAAAATCCAGGTCTACCAACGGATCGAAGTAAATAATTGCCCTCTTTGACCAAAAGGCCGGGTCAACCAACGGATCGAAGTAAATAATTACCCTCTTTGACCAAAATCCAGGTCTACCAACGGATCGAAGTAAATAATTGCCCTCTTTGACCAAAATCCAGGTCTACCAACGGATTGAACCTAATAATTGCCCTCTTTGACCAAAAGCCAGGTCTACCAACGGATCGAAGTAAATAATTACCCTCTTTGACCAAAAGCCAGGTCTACCAACGGATTGTAGTAAATAATTGCCCTCTTTGACCAAAAGCCAGGTCTACCAACGTATCGAAATAAATAATCGCCATCTTTGACCAAAAGCCAGGTCTACCAACGGATCGAAGTAAATAATTGCCCTCTTTGACCAAAAGCCAGGTCTACCAACGGATCGAAGTAAATAATCGCCCTCTTTGACCAAAAGCCAGGTCTACCAACGGATTGAAGTAAATAATCGCCCTCTTTGACCGAAAGAGGGCATTTGACCGGTCGAGGTCTACCGACGGATGGAAGTAAATAAGCCCTCTTTGACCCAATGAGCGCATCCTGGCCCACCGTCGGCACCTATCAGGAATACATACAAAGACAACTGTCAACCCTTTTAAAAAACACAGAAACATTTGGGAAAGTCAAAATAGGAAATTGCATCAGCAATGATGCGTCAAATTTGGAAATGTCCGCCACACTTCTACAACAAAACTGTTTGCAAGCTTTACCCGAGGCCCTGAGTAACGTAACCCTCATCAAACAATTTTTGAGTCGTATGAAGCTTCGTAGAAAGAACATGTTCGATTGTACCTCAAAAGTGGTGAAATATAGACAACAAACACGAGCTGATGAAATGCTGCCAAACATAAAGGAACAGTTGACTGCTGAAAAGTTGAAGTCATCCCTCTTGCAACACAGTCCTGTGGAGAGTCTGTTGTCACTCTGAATCATTTTATATAGATCTATGTTCAGATGAGGCCATTTCACTTGTCTCTGTTATTTCTGTCTCAGGTGGGTGTATCAGTAGAAGGGAATTTAGTTATTTGACCAGTATTGATATCCATACATGTTGTGTTTCCATTCAGTTCGAATATTGATGAATGTGACGTCAAACATTGACTCTGGAACTGTTTGTTTGTGTGAGGTTTTATTAACGCCGCACTTTGCAATATTCCAGCCACATGACGGCGGTCTGTAAATAATCCATTCTGGACCAGAAAACCCAGTGGTTGAAATCATGAGCATCGATCCACACAATTAGGATACGATCAACCAAGTCAGCGAGCCTGACCGCCCGATCCCGTTAGTCGCCTCTTACTGTAAGCATAGTCTCCTTTTATGGCAAGCATGTGTTGCTGAAGACCTATTCTAACCCGGATCTTCACGGATACACCCTGGAAGTCATCAACATATGTAAACACTCAGTAGAAGAATTCTTCATTAAGGCAACAGTACAATTCTATAGAAAGTTAATAATCTGAATCTGGTTGAATTATCGGATGAACAGCCCCGTCATCGTTGCAACATCGGGCTCTTTTAGACATCCGTCAATGAAACATGACGTGTCATTGTGTTTGTTTACATGGCAAAATTATACCACCCAACAACCCTGGAAAGACTATAAATTTTCAGACATGTAGACAAAATAACATTCCTAATATCCATTTCATGTGAACGATGGAAAGTCGAAAGAACTTCAAAGAAATGTGTAATTATTTTTTCTATTTCGAACATAAGTCCAACTACTTCCTTATCCTATTTCCCACACGGAAAAAAACATCAAACAATAACCACGTCTGTCCCCAAGGGCCTACTTGCCAGTGACTAAATGAGTGAATGGCGCTTGAGCACTGTAGCTTATTCCGTCACCTAGAGAAGCAATGTTGTAGTGAGATTGCATATGTTCAGCGTAAACCACAAATTTACGGATTCTTCCTCACACAGTTCGAACAACAATTAGGGTCACGGCTGCTGCTCGATTATGATTTCTAATGATAGTCACGTGAACTAGTGAAACTTGAATACTTGTTCCAATATGGATTCCTCCCATGTTGGTCGAGATACTCAGAAGGAATTAAGTGCGTCGAGCGTGTAAATATAATACGGCAAATGTGTTACACAGTTGGGCAAGAGAAGGCAAAAGAAAGTATACACCCATGTTTACTGGTGACTAAAATGAAACAAGTAATACATGGTTATTCGATGGTGATGTCTATGATACGGGTATCACAGTTGTGTTTGTGGCTTTAAGCTTGCAGACTTTCGGTCAAACAATGTTTTCAGCGTTGCAACGTTTGGATAATTTTTAAATGTTTTGGTCAAATCCCTTTTTCAAAAGTACACTTGCTTTCCCCGACAATTTATTTTAATTAACCTTACGATGATAACATGCTGTCTGTCAGGAATCTGAACGTGTAGATTTTCGTATTTGGGTAAAAGTATTGAGAATGTGTTTAATTTTCGGGTTCTTGTCCACGTGGGTCCAACGCGTGAAGCATATTTCTGGTGTCCCCGCCGTGATATTTTGCGGAAATATTGCTTTTAGCGGCGTTAAACCATACTCACGCATTGCTCAAGCCTTCCCTCCCCGAGCTATTGGCTTGCAAACAATAACACTTCACACACACACACACACACACACACACACACACACACACTCACACACACACACACACACACACACACACACACACACACACACACACACACTCTCTCTCTCTCTCTCAATGTCTCTCTCTCTTTTCACACACACTCTTCAAACACGCGCGCTCGTGACAACACGTACATAATAAAATCCATACGCCCGTCCAAAAAATGTCATTAAAAATAAATTAATATTAAATCAAATAAATAAAAAGCCATACCATCCCCATCCATATCCTTCTTGTGTGTCATTAGATAATACCTATAATCCCCTACTTAAACCAAAAAATACAAAGCGCAAATACATGGCGCATTACACACCACAGGCGTGTGGGCTTGGTACAGATATACCCCCCGTAGCTCTATTCACTGTGTTTCATCCGACTTCATTACACGCTTCAGAATGAAGGCTGTACCACACTCCAACATCCAAACAAGGAAATCAATACTAGGACATTGCCATCAACGGCTTCTCGACTCTACGCACCTGTTGCGCGGTACAAGTGTACACCAGCAATCCCTTTACGACCACAAGTCGACAATCTACTACGTGAAAACAATCTGTATTTATTAAGCATTATATATGTCACCTGAGTCATAATTAACAACATAGAGCGTTAAATCATGCTCATGATCTAAAGCCGCTGAGGCTGGAACGACAAGTCTCACGCCACCTTGGTAAAACAGTCCCTCCCACCCGCTCCCTCCTCAATGACATCCCCCGCCCCTCAAAGTCCCTCATCCGAGTAGGACTCGCTCACTCGACCGGAAGTGGGAGAGTCGTATATAAGTTGGCGTTGAGGGAGGGATGTTTGGGGATCATACGGAATGAGCAGCATAGCAACACCGGCAGGAGCAAGCAGCACGTGCATATTGCGCCACCTATGACTTGGGCAGACGACGACACCTTGTTGAAGGCCGATGTGGACGCTAACGTTTCATCTCAGACTTGTCCACGAGTTTGTGTTGCTATACCTGGCGGTCATCAAACTTACAGGTGAATTGTCACTGAGAAATCTTATTGATTGTGTTCACACTGTGGAGCTATTTATATCCATGGATAATACAGGTATGTTTCAATATTTCCTATTTTACACATCGACGAGAAACTTTGCCGGTATCATGGAAAACGCCACCATCGGCTGGTAAGACTACACGTCGAGGAATAAATCCGGCTCATTACTTGCACACATACAATAGAAACAGTTTGTGAGACAAGTATCGTCAAATAATTCACGTATTCAATTCAAACTTTCCATGAACATTTTTCATTGTCTTCAATTGAAAAAAACCTGATGACCTCAAATTGACACACATCTGAATATACACATGCATGTATATGATGACTTGTATTTGAGCCAGATGCATTGAATACAATAAAATATTTGATCTTGATCATAAACGTCCAACAGTTCCTACTGCAGCGCCTATACTAGAATTCTGTGTTCATTATTTTCTCAAATTTGCTTCTAATGTTCTGTTGTAAATTATCACTTTCCCTTCATTCTAACTTTCTATATTTTAATTTCAAACTTGAGTTTAGAAATGATAAAAAATATTTCTAAGATATAAAAATAGTTATTTAAATGTTTCTTAATTTATATGAAATAATACTTTTCTACCAAAACAACATAATATTATTTGCAAATCCATAGGATACTTAGGAAAATGAACTTCACAAATGCCCGAATGATTGTAAGAATATTATTTATGTCTGTGACGTCAGTGATGGAGAGATATTAATTAAAGTCCTGACACTCCTCCACACTCCATTGATCGGCAAGACTGTTTTACAAAGATGTAGATTAATGTATAATTGTAACACCTCCCAGGCAATAGCTCGGCCGCAGACGACATGACCTCCTAGTTTCAGCACTGAAATTTAATGGGAGGCATTCGAAGGAATTTACTGAATATAACACGTTGCTTGATGCACGATGTTTCCCCAGACTGTGACCTCCACATGGCGTTTTCACACCGTGTTACCCACTGGCATTTACTTCAGGGCGGGGCATGCTTCCCCTTTCGCGGACTCCTGGTGGCGTCACTAACTTTCAGTGATCCATTCACATATTTTTTTACGGCTGTTTGTCCTTTTACGCTCAATGGATCTGTTTTGACGAATAATCAAGACTGTTTTTTCTTTGGCGTTGACGTTTTATATTTAATGGATTGTGTCGTCAGGCTTGGCTTGAAGACGCGATCATCGCTCATGATACTGATCACTGGATTGTCTGGTCCAGACTCGACTGTGTACAACCCGTCGCCGTATGGCATGCGTATTGCTGTTCCCGGCTAAAAATCTACACTTGCTTACTTACGAGGGGCGTTCAAAAAGTTTTGCAACTTCAATATCGACCGAGTCGCAGAATATCTTTTGCGCTTTTATTTTTCAATATAATCTCTATTCACCTCAATACACTTATTCCATTTGTCCTTCATGTTTTTGATACCACTTTTATAGAAATCCGCAGTTTTTGGTTGCATGTAATCAGTCAGTAATATGCCTCTTGCATCCAAAAATATGGTGGCCATTACCTTGCCAGCCGATGGTTGAGTGCGAAACTTCCTCGGAGGCGGAGAATTGGGATGCTTCCATTGCATGGATTCCAATTTAGTTTCTGGGTCGCAGTGGTGGATCCATGTTTCATCACCTGTCACCAGACGAGAAAGAAATCCGTCTTTCATCAGCAGTATAGAGATCCAGGAGGTCTCGACAACTTTCAGTTCTCTGATGGCGATCTTGAGCTCTGAGGTTTCCAGGCACCCATCCTGCAGATACCTTGGATATACCAAGATGCTCATGAATAATGGTTCCAACAGTTCCAACTGATATTTGGAATTCCCTAGAAAGTTCAGATACTTTCACTCTTCGGTCAGACAAAATTCTTCTTTCTATAGTAGCAATGGTTTCCGGTTGGGTGGCATCTGAAGGCCTGCCTGACCTTGGGTCATCGTCTATGGACTCCCTACCCCTTTTAAACTGTAGCGACCAACGGCAAACTGTGGAATAGTCAGGAGCATCCTTTTTATGACACGTGTCAACCTGATGTTATGACTAGTGTCACACCTGCCAGAAGTTGACATTGTTTGTGTAAACACAAATGCCCAAGTTGCCAAACTTATTGAACGCCCCTCGAAATACAAAGTGTGTGAGTGGCAGGTGCCGCAGTTAGAGCAGGGCGTGGTTCTTCTTGTCGCGAACACCTGGTGTCATCACTGATTTTAGTGTTCTGTTCCTATAATTTCGACACTATTTCCCTTCACCCCCGATGGAATCTGTTTCGGTATATTGGTTGTTCTCTGGTTCCAGACTATAGTCTGGTGAAATATTGCTGAGCACACATAGTTGCTGACTCACTCACCCTGAACGCGTTAAGCCAAGGAGTTGCCTCCCTTAGCCTTGCAAGGATGCCCTGGTCGTGAATTTGAACACAGACACTCTAATGATGAAACTTGGCCTGTCAATACCACACCCGTTCCCGTATGTTTAATGTATCATTAGGGTTTAATGTAGCCATTAGTTAATGAGGCTTTGATACAACCCGCGTCCGGTTCGAGTTTTCCGTAGAACTAACTCACTCGCTCACATTCAAATATACTTTTGTTAAACAACAAATGCACATTGTTGAGATCTATTCTCACTGAAACAACGGGGGTGGGACATGCTTAATGCAGCTTATCGTGTAAGCAATCAATACAGGAAGGATAAGTCGGGGATACATTGAACGTTACGATGTCAGGCACGGCGGTCACTCAGATCAGAGTGTAGCCATGAATAGCCATCTGCAGTGTTTTCATATCACATTCAGATAACATGGTGATAATGGAACGTATTGATTTGCTTACATAGGCGATGTACGTAGCAGAGAATCGTTGGCCCGTGTTCGGCTTTTACTGGTTGGATCTCGTATTGCACACGAAGCTTGGATGAATTTAAGATATCTTAACGGGATCGAGTGGTCAGGCTCGATGACTGGATTTATGCATGTCATTTTATCCAAGTAGCATGGATCGATGCTCATGATGTCAATCACTGTTTGTCTGGTCCAGACTCGATTATTTACAGACAAACAATACATCTTAAATTCATTTTGATATACCTTGAATTGAATTCCAGATATAATTGAATTTTACATCAAACCGGCTTGCCATATATATCTAATTCAAAATGTGAACAGGGCAATCTTGACCTGACAAGCAGGTGACGTGACATCCAACATAGTGACGTCATGACATCCGTAAAAGCTTACCAGCCGACTTTTGTGGGTTTGTGCAAGACGGCAACCGGCCGTTAGAGAGCTAGACGTTTGAGTCATTAATATGTTAACAAGTAAGTACTATGGTGACTACAAAGTAACTGCTAAGTAACTTCTGTGGAATCTCTCCAAATCCGGCGGACTCTGTCAATTCGAATTTCGGTAAAAATCGGCCTTTACTCCGGTCCTCTCAATTCCTCAATACATGATCAAACTGACCCACAACATGCTAATTCGGACTCGTTACACTTCGGATTTCGAACTAAATTACGGTCCCAACAACCAATTTACAAGTGAAAAGAAGCTGTCTAAATCGGCTGTCTGGCAATGAAACGGCGTATCGAGCTTACACTTGCAAAGAAAGTTGCTTCAATTGAGAAATTTAGGTCTGTGCCAAAACCGAAGCAGAAAGAATGTGTATTTAATACCAGTCGAGGTCAACATTTCATGTATAATGTATGTGTATGCCAATACAGATGTATGATCACTGCTTTTCGTTTTGTCTTCAGTCCAACTTTTTGTTGTCAGCGTAATCCGGACCTCCCCTAAACCGGACGTTTTTACCGGTCCCAACCGAGTTCGAATTGAACAGGTTCCACTGTAGAATACTTTAAAATAGAATTACGACAGTCGTGACTCCCAAACTTTTACATTGACTTACGACAGTCGTATGTATCTCCCATAATTTAGCATAGACTTACAACAGTCGTACCTCTCATACTTTAACATCGACTTACGAAGGTCGTAACTCTTAACACTTTAACATCGACTTACGACAGTCGTACCTCTCATACTTTAACACAGACTTACGACAGTCGTACCTCCCATACTTTAACATCGACTAACGAAGGTCGTAACTCTTAACACTTTAACATCGACTTACGACAGTCGTACCTCTCATACTTTAACATCGACTAACGAAGGTCGTATCTCTCATACTTTAACACAGACTTACGACAATCGTAAGTGTATCTAGCGCCATAAGCACAGGAAACGTAACAATGCCCGGTTTAACGAACTGTCCAGGTCTATATTCGGGATCACAGTTCTTAAGTATTTAATGTCGTGTCGCTTCTCTGTTAACAATGTGTCACTTTTCCGACCTTCCAGCTATGTAATCCTAAGGTGTTAACACAATCAACGTCAAAATGAATTGACGTTTTCAATTGTACGTTACTGATCCAATGCTTCCCAAAATAGGATCGCGTGTCCTAAGAATAAGTCTCGTCCAACGCCCCCGAAAATGGCACAATTGTTCTAAAATAGAAACATGAAAGCCGCATACGAACCATTGTTGTTGTCAAAGGTATTAAAATCCATAACACGCCATGCTACCACAGCGGTTATTCTCAACCAACCGACCTACTCGATCATGGCGGATCTAGCTCCAAGAAGGAATTCAGTCTTATAACGGTACACTTGTAACTGTTTAGCAACTCTTCACGGCGCTTTGCGAAACTGAGAGTAGCCCTTAGAGGAACGGATGACGAGGTTCAAACTCCTTGCACTGTTTTTTCATACATGTTGTGTCTCGAGCTTAGTCTTCTCTGTCACATCCGAAACAACTCAACTTGTTTTGTATAAACAGTATATACGTAGTATTACGTCAAACGGAAATAAGTGAATTTATTTTAGACGATTAAGATCGCAAACATTTCCTTTCCTTGAACTGTTACATGTCTTCTCCCATATGGTGCCAACTTCATTCTGTCTACTTCATTTGAGTATATTTATTGCTCGAAAGTCATCGAGCCTTCTTCGTCTATCATAATTCATATAAGTCAATAAGTTTGTTTAAGTCTGAGATTAC